TACGGTTTAACTTGCTGTCAAGGACCTTTCTCTAAGCCTAAGACATTCTAGCAATCTCCTTACTGGAATTAATATGAGGGAACGATTCAAATCACCCTAGATAAACAGGTTATATAGTTTAAGACATATTCATAACTTATTTATCGAGTAGAAAATTTCCAACAATGCATTGTAGTGTATGATATTTTTAAATATATATTACTATATTATGTCACATACAGCCTTTTGCAAAAATTATGAGAATTGTCTAAATATCTAAATATCATAATATCCATATCCATATATTGTCCGGAACACGCGGGTTTGCTAGAATAATTCATTGTTGACATCGAGAAAATGTTCAGAACTACAGATAAGTCTGTCGCCAAAAAAAAAACTAAACTACAAAGACAAGGGACTAAGGGCATCGCGCGGGATTACCCATCATGCACTCGATATTATGATATTTAGATATTTCAACAATTCTCATAATTTTTGCAAAAGGCTGTATTAGTTATGCATTTTAAATAATTTAAGGTGTTTTATACATAGCACCCTCCAACACCGAACATTTTTAAACGACCGTTCAACCTACTTAATCTGACTCGATATTTCTCAAATTAACTGACAATGTTTATGCATTCATTTTTAATTAACTGCATAAATGGCAGGGATTTTTATAGAAAGAAGGAGCTCAAAGAAAGCTGATTTCCGTGCGAATCTTTGGCAGTTCGAAAAACCAAAAGTACTGCGACGGCTTAACTATACAACAACAAAATAACAAATAATATATCTAAAAACCAAGGAATTCTTTTAGCCAGTTTTGAGAAAAACAAGAAAACATTTGATATATTTCAGACAAAACATAACTTCTTGAACGCGTCTTGACTAGGCAACGGTTTTCAATTTTATTTGACAAGGTTAAAATGTATCAATCATATTGAAACGTTGCATCAATTCTGTCCTTTTAGCAAAATAGAAGCAACTCAGTCAAGGTGAAATAAAACTTCGGGTCCGTTTTTGATTTGAAAAACGCTAAAAASTACACTTTTTCAGAGTCTTCGCTTCATAAACACTTTAACTAATGTGTGATTAAAAAATCACATCTGTAGAACTACGGAGAGAAATTACTTCACAGCCTTATCTTATAAGCCAAGCAAGACTTTTACTTTTTTGAGATTTAGAAATTATTATTTGAGCTTAATTATGTCCCAATTATAAGMAAAAATACGTAAAATATAAATGTTTTCTAGCTTTTCTGAAAACCATGCCAGGCAGAGGAATTCCTTTGGCTTTGTATCATATCCCTTGTTATATCTCAAAATTTAACAGAACTTTTCGTTTTTCTAGTTGCCATCGAAATCGGCTGAAAATCACCTTTCTTTGAGCTCCTTCTTTCTGTCATAAAACTGTCATTTTTGCAGTAAATTAAGAATATACGCATGTTTTAAGAGCTTTTAACTACGTTTAACATTGTCAGCTCATTTGAAGAAAATCGAGTTTAGTTGTTCAAACGTTCGTTTTAAAATATTCATTGCGGAAGGGTGCGACTAGGCCCGGGCGAATAGAAACACCTTAACTTTTCTATTAATTATATTATTTTTAAATTTACGCTTTTGCTGCAGGCTTTACTTGGATGGCATTAAGGTCCAGCTAAATAAATGATGAACAACTATATACTTCACAAAAGATTATGGATTGAAAATTTGAAACAAAATGGTAGACAAAGTCTATTTATGAACCTTCACCAAGTTGAAATTCACATTAAGCAAAAAACACTGTTAAAAAAGACACGCAGCAGTTGCGGCCGACTGTAGCAAAGAAGTTAAAGCCGAACAGGTGCCAAAAAAATCTAAAGTAAGCTTACACTCAGAAAAATAGCTAAAATGTTATAATCTCTATCGAAGATGCTCAAAGAGGACAGATTAAATTATCACACAACGTACGGATTTCAATTCCAACGCGTTTACTCTTATGACAATTAAATTTTGGTAATATATCGTCACTATATACTCTTAGGATTCTATTCTATTTGAACCATAGCAATTCGATTAAGACAATTAAGGCTTTCTTACCTTAGGAAGCCGTCGGATCTGATTCTCTGTACGAGGTCGATCGGTTTCAGGAACTGACTATCTATCTAGACATAGTTCTTCCCATATCAATGGTTATAGGATGTTTTAGTAGCCAATCAAATTGCAGTAGATTCAAGTGTTTTTCTAACTCGTTTTAAGTGTATGGTTAAGTGCATATGACATTGTTATTTTGTTATTTCAAAATAACATTGATATGAGAAGAATGCTGGCTTGGATAAGTATCACTGCCACTTGATACACACCCTTTATATTTCAATGAAAATGTTCAGGTTCTGCTAACATTGTGACGCAGAATTCACCTTCGTTTTTTGTCTAAAATGTAAACCTTGCATATAGTAGTACTTAGACCAGTTAGGATTCTCTTTATATTAATGATACTTGAGAAAATAGAAAAATTGTGTCAGATACACTCTAAGTGTTTGATTAAGGTCTGAGTACGTGTGATATATCACAGCATATTCCTGGGCTAGCCTGGAGCTTTCATACCTAGTTGTTTTTCTTTGTGCGTGTGCGTTCTTTTCAGTTTTTTTTCCTTCTTCTTCTTTTTCTTCTCCTTATGTAGTGAAACATATATATCATCAAAAGAAAACGAGAATTTTCAGAAAACTAATTTATGACACTTTTAACACAATCATTAAANAGAGTAAGCCCCAATCTGCGTTCTAAGTTTTCTTCTTGCTCCATTAGCTCATTAAGTCTAGCTTCAAGATTTTCTAATTCTTGCTGAGCCGCTTCTCTTTCTTGATCACTTCGGTTCTGATCATTTATAATTTCCTGTTGCCGTTCTATATGTTCTTCTAAGTCTTCTATGGCCTGCTTTACTTGATCAAGTTGCTTTTCTTTTACGGCGATTTCCTTAAGAAGCTCTCGTCTTTCCTCTAACGAGCCTCTTATGGCAGCTTCATTATAATTGTTTTTCTCCCTTAATTCTATCATTTCTCGATTAGCAAGATCAAACGCCCTACGAGCTTGTTGCTTTTCTTCTGACAGAATACTTACTCTTTCTCGTAATTCGGCTTTTTCTCTTCCATGACTTTCAAGTAATAGCTGATTTTGCCTAATATATTCGTTTTCCTTATCTCGGAGTTCTTGTTTTAGTTCAGCAACTTCTTGTTCCTTTTGCTCAAATTCTCTTTGAGCTTCAGTGCTCCTGTTTAGAGTTTCTAGCCTTTCCAGCAAACTTCTAGAAGCCTCTTGAAAACCTTTGAGATTTTCAACGCCTGATTGAATTTCACCTTCTTTAGTAAAAAGAGGCCGCGGATTCGTAAGTTGTTTATTACCTTTTCCATAATTTTCCACTTGTATGTAAACTTTACCATCTTTAACAGATAACTTTACGTCATCAAAGTTGAAGTTGGGGTATAATTCCAAAAGGCGTTCTTCTGCTTCTGCGATAGGATTGATATTTTCTAGTTGCAAGTACTCCGGCAAACTAGCGTCGGGATTTTTTGTTTTAAAATAATTATTTAAACGATCAGTAAGGCGAGTAASAACACCACCAAACACACGATCGGCAAACGGTTTAATTCTTGATAACCAAGCCTCTCRCGTTTCATCATCACGCTTCAAAAGAGGCTCAAGCTCATCATTAATGTCGGCTTGGCCTTCTTCAGTTGTGGGATCAAAATCTGGTTCATATTCTGCCATTATGTATATAATATATCTTATGTATAATGACACTAGAAAGCAAGTTTAATAAAGCCGTCGAGGAGCAAGAAATTCAAAAATGGAGTGAATTAGAAGAAGGAGTTATTTATGAAATTATTAGATTTRATMAGGTTTCTACAATTCAYGGCCCRGCAGTTAAAGTHGTTYTAGAAGATGAYGAATATCAATACACAGTATGGGCGCCAAAAAGGCTTRGCGAGATGCTTTTGCAAGATACTTATACTCATGTTAGGCCGAAGGGGAAGAGAATGTCAAAAGCAGGAAATCAATATTATGACTTTGACATTGCGGATCTAGATTAAATTTTTTGAATCTCAAAAAATTTGTATTATATATGAGGTGTTGTATGTGCAATAGTATTTTAGAAAGACCTTGGATAATCGAAAGGCTTAATTGCCACAATAATGACGTTTGCTACCACTACTGCTTAAGGTGTTCCAAAAAGATATTTGATGACGAGATCGGTATAGTCGAAGAAGATGTTAATTAATACATTCAGAACGGTGTAAATCTCAAAGTGAAAGATGCGCGGGATCGGGTACTTTTGTTGATAGAAATATTTAAGTTAGTATAACTTTTTTTTAGCCCTTGTTAAAAGTAACATTCAGCACAGATTAAGAAATAATCACCATCTTCTTCCAGTAAATATTGTTTAGTGAGCTCGTCGCCGCATTCATAACAAAATAGGGATTTACTAAGGAGGTTGATAAAGTATAATTTACTCTTTTCTGTAATTGCACTCCAGTTAGATACTTTTCTTTTCAGGGAATCCTTTAGTTTCTTAAATTCATAGCTCTCAGTGCCGCAAACCTCTTTGTGACTCTGAAGGCGCTGGTTGCTTGAAAGAATTTTAGAGCAGTCATCACATTTAAATATTTTCTTCTCTCTTTGACACAGCATTTTTGCTTCATGGCTGTTCTTATTAAACGCATTAGAGAACTGTTTTTTGCAATACTTACAGATCTTTCTCTGGCACACCAATTTAGACATGTGTTTTTGCAACCCCTGTTTGCTTTTAAAATCCTTTGCGCAGTAAATACACTTCATACTATACTAAACAAATATATAAACACAATACAAAACTAATCTAAATATTTCTATCAACAAAAGTACCCGATCCCGCGCATCTTTCACTTTGAGATTTACACCATGCTAAACTTCTTAATTAACACCACCGCACAATATGGGCCTAAAAAATAGGGGTTTAATAACCCCACTTGTTTTTTATTAATTTATAACAATTTGCTAGCTCCATAAGCAACCAACCCCATCCCACCAGCCACATATGCCAGCTCATACTTCTTCTGACTGGCCGACGGTGTATAATGAAATTCCGGTTCTTTTAAATTAAAATCCGGATGCGCCTTTTTATAAAGCGAAAGAGCTTGATCTGTTGAATTCAAATTCTCATCAGCCTGCTTTTTTTTCAAATATTCTGATTCTAACCAATCTTGGTATTCCTGTCGTCTTTTTCTCCATTGGCCCATTTCTTTTTCGTATTCTTCCATGGCCTTATCATGCCTAATTCTTTCTTGATCCACATGTTTTTTATCAAAATATTTAGCTARATACATTGAACCTGTAAATGCCGTCGCATTCAAAATCGCCCCACCTATCATTATCGCTATCGATGCCATCTATATATTCTTAGGAATAATCTTCTGATCTTCTAAATATTGTTTCGCGTATAAACTTCCTGAAAGCACCAGAACCCATTTACCGTAATTCGCTATAGAAGTGCTCGGGTCGCTTATGAAACTTTCCTTTAATATCTTTTTGCCTACGTAACCAATCCCACTCGCAAGTCCTACTACCACCGCCGCGTCTGTTAATGATTTCACTAGTTTGTTTTCACTCATGCTATATATCTAACATATTTCTATTTCCAAATGAATTTTCTCAGGAGCCACCTGTAATAACTTTTTACCATCTGTGACACGAAAGAATATAGAATAAACACGATTAGTTCCATTAGTTCTAATTTTAGATTTGCTGCCTGCTATGCTCATTTCATTAACTTTCTTCTTATGAATTATTCCCAAAAGCTGCGTTCTTTTTGAATTAAACCGAACATCTTCACTATCTATTAAATCACAATAGATGTGAATTGCTTCTGGAGGAAATTCCATCTTGTCTGGAATTCCAATGCGAGMGCAGTTCAAAGAAATAGTTTTCGGATTATGCGCAGGCGGATCTAAATATATTGTAAATTCCGGCTTAGTTTCTTCAATGTGTAGTATCATATATAATTAAAACTTATTCCATACCAATTCTTCTAGGTTTCTTTTTAGACTCCTCTACCTCAACCTTTATTTCCTCAGGCTTTTCTTCTGGCTTATTATTAGATTTCCACCGATAATATAAATCAACAGCTGCTATTGTGGTGCCCACAATAGATATAGCCGTTGTAAAAGATATTTCAGGTATCCAAGACTTTTGTGTTGTTTCCTTYKCCAATGCCTTCTTAGCCTTCTTATGATACTCAGCTAGCCTCTTACCAGCAGCCACCTTTTTAGGATCTTTTATTTTCTTAACAACTTCTGGCTCTTTTGTAATTTGCTCAACAGGTTGCTCAACATTCTCACTCATTATATAATAGATATTTTAAGACTGCTCAGGAGAAAACTTAATATGCTTAGCAATCTGCATGAGACAAGAACCAAGAGCCACAAAGCGGCCGCCATGTAATACAGCATATCCAGCGRCGTTATTGAGCTCCTGCTTAAGAAGGTCATTCTTCTTCAAGTCCTCGCATAATTCTTTCTTATCGTCTATTGGAGCTACCATATTGATTACCTCAGCAGCCCCTTCTATAGCCATATCAACAAGGCCTCCAGTCACTTGATTACCCATAGTGACTTGATATCGATTATAATATGTTTCAACATCCTTAGCTGAAAGCTTTTTTACATCACCTAAAGACATTTTAACTCCCGTGTAAGTTTCTATAGTTCCTAAAACAGCCAGGATAGACAGCTGCTCTCTTTTCTCTTCAACTTC